AATCTTTTAAAAGGTTTATCGTTAAAGTGTTTTCAAAAATTGCGAACAATTGGACAGGGGTGAAGACAACATACATGTACTCTACAAACAAGATTCAAATACCAGTATATCACAGAACAAGAAGAAATCAATGTACAATATACTACCTATTCCCTCATGGTTGCATATGGCATATGTATATTTCACGAACAGAAAGTCCCCTCAAGTATTTCCAGTAATGGTATCAGCTTTGATTGCAACATACCAACTAGTGACAAATTCAGTACTAATGGTGTTTATTGAAAATTACATATACAGCCATGTATTGCAATCAAGCCAAACATATTCTAATGCAAATGAAATGAAGATAACCATCAAAAGTCCACATGTGAACAAAATGAAAGTAGAGTTCCATATATTGCAATATATTGATATTTGAGATTTTTATTGACAGCCCTACACTAAATATAATAAAAGACAAAATAGTAGACCGAACTAGACTGTTTTTTTGAGGGACAGGTAATCAATCAAATAACAAATGTTCTAAATACACCAGAAATATCAGATACAAGGAGCATTTATGTTTTTACTTTAAATTGTCAACACAGTCGCAACCTAATTACTCAATAAGCAGTTGGTTTAGAAAGATAAGAACAAAACCAATCTTTTACCTGCAGTAAAATCAATCAAATCGTTATTATTTTGTTAGAGACTGGTTTGTGACAAGTTACTATACCAAACAGGAATCCATTGACAATCTGTTACAATACTTGATTTCACATACTATCACATATTCCTGAAGCAATGGTCCGAGAAATCACTCTCTGGCCATTGCTGGATTAGCTTCTGATACTGGCGCTTTTGAGGGAGCGTGTCTATTCTACCTGTTCAATCAAATCTATCCCTAAGCACAGCAACATGACAGCCCTTCGTTTAATCGGGGGTCTTCCCTAAAACTTTGGACAGTGATTTAAGGTATTAAAAACGGTGAATTGTTGTTCATCTCCAAACTGTATTGTTTACATTATATCCATGTTGATAGCCTCGTTTGTCACACAATTAGTTTTTCTGCAATATTCGGCTAAACAATGGTTAATTGGACATAATATAATTGTGAGTCATGACGTAACGTTATGTAAACATATTTGGTCCAATTTGGAGCTCTGTTTAAAGCGTAATGATATTGTTATGCAGTTAGCTATTGTTTGTTAATCGGACTATTGACCAGTCATAATTTGGAACAAGAATTTGCTTTCTTTACAGCAGTGAGTAGTGGGATTAGCTCTAATCAAATGAAATACTGTGAGGAGTATGATACTATCACTGCTCAATTCATTCCTGTAATTTGCTACCACTGTAGTAGGGATGTAAATATGTGGTGTGCTCTGTGACATCTAGATTGTTCTGTTTTGTGTTGTTTCAAATTTAAATACTCCCTACTGCCTACTGACTTAAAATTGGTTACGAGGAATTCCTTGGGCTCATGGTTTTGATTCCCCGGTTGTACGTGACAAGGAGTAGGGTTGCCTGTCCAACCTCTTGGGGTTTCTCCGGGTCCTCCAGTTTCCTCCCACTGCTAAAGACCCCTATCTGCAAGCGAATTATTGAAATAAAATTGAACCATATGTTAGTCCTGAAATGACCTAGTTTGTGTTGAGTAAGCGTTAAACCCCATTTCTCTCTCTCTCTCTCTCTCTCTCCTTTGGCTTACTTTGTAGATGTGTATGGATTCCATGCCTGAGGTCCCAGGTGTGATTCCTGATAGGAGTGCTTGTCACACACACTTTGTCAAATTATACATTTTCCATGCCACATTTTAAATAACAACCATCTCCCTACTTTCAGGCTGTCCACGTAATTGGTTATGCCTAGCTGCCAGTCCACTAAAGGAAGGATGCAAGTTAAGAGCAATGGCTTATTTTCTTTGGAACACTTTTGGTATTAAAAATCTACATTGCAACTTTCTAATCCATTTCTTTTATAATCAACAGGGAACCATGGTGGCTCAGTGAGTAAGATGTTGGCTCACTAACCTGGAGGGCCAGTTTTCGATACCAGTGTTGGCAGAGAAAGTTCATCCAGGTTTTCCGGCATGATTCCCCCTTGTCAGTGGTGCAGGACAGAGAATCCAAGGTCTCTTGTACACATTGGCTTGCATGTAAAACATCCCTTGGCAGTTGTAATTCAATATAAGAGTAGGCCATAGTGCCGTCCAGGCAAAATTCCCTCATAACACACTATATGACATATGCCCATCTTCATTAGCCCAGTCGGAGCAGAACAGTAGGACGTTAAACCCCATCACATTTCATTTATAATCAATAATTTAGTTCATTCAATTTTTCATTCAATATGTGACAGATTGAAATTGGGGGCCTACTAGGCAGATGACATGTATACTCTGTACTTTGTAATGTCTGCTGTTGAAAATAAGACTCAAGTTATAACCAGCTATATACTGAAGTTAGTTGACCTCAACATCTATGTTATACTGTACAATCAATTCAATCTATATTCTGTAGTCTGGCTACATTAAACCAAGCACTTAAATATCCAATTATAAAAATATTTAAAGAATTAATCTGAATATAAAATGAATTATTGAATACTGGAGCTATTCATGAAAGAGTCCAAAGGTATTTGATGTTCAGCCATTTAAAACCGACTGTTTGACGTTTTTATTTATTGCCGTGGGCGTTTAATACCGAATTGATTTCAAGAGCAACAGATGGTTAGAATATTTTCACATAAAATTTTATACCTAAAAACATGTTCATATTATGTCAACTAAATGGAATGGTAGTTTACATGTCTTCTCAACACAATACTTATGTCATTTTAAAACATATGGTAGTTTTTATTTCTATGCTTATATGTGCCAAGACAGCAGTGTTTCTGCCTATTTCTTTACAATTTACAGCTATCAAGGGTTCTTTTAAATGCACGCCCAAGCGCACACATGTGGAAGTCTGTTTTTCATCGCATCAAAACGACAATGCACATTATATTCTATTATATTGCATATTTCTCATTGATCTAAATAAATATGTATACTAACTCAACATTCAAAGTCTAAAAATAGCACAATTGCTCGGATGAGAGGAGATTTTCCTTGTCAGCCATAAGTGATGGTCATGCTTGAAAAATTCTGGAGGCTCATCTCAGTCAATGCCAGGATTCAAACCTAGAATGTTCTAGTCAAAAGCTCAGTACCCTGAGTGCTTGATTAGTACTGCCCACTCAACGAAATAGGAAGAATTATCACTGCCTTGAACACCACATGTACATATTCAACTTATTATACACGAATCATGCATTTGGCAAACTCAGAAATTTCCCTTGATCACCATCCCACATTTTTATGAAATTTCAAAATAGGTAAAAGATATGAAAATAATAGCTCGACTGTCTTACAACTATTTCTATAAATAGAAATTATATAAAAAAATATTAATTTTAATAAGTTTTCTAAGAAACCTTACCTTCCACTGGTATTAACACAGAACTAACTGATTGTTCAAATAATGTGTTCCTAATAAATAAATCTACTGCTAATCTTTATACTGTCCTTGAATTAAGGTTAACCTGGATTAACGGGGAACCACAGATTTCTACTATAAAGATTAAAAGCCTAAAAGGTCACAAATCCCAATAGTTCTATGATCAAAGGTTGTGACCCTCTTGTTTTAATTTTTTACGAGGTAATCCTTGTATATCAAAATATATGAAGGGTCAAGATATAATTATATGCCTGTGTCATAATCATTAATGTATATAAACAAAAGATTTGGAGAGGTCCAGAGATCAAGTGACCTTGTAAGTCTTTCTTAGTCCATGTCAGCACTGGAACCTTTTTCAGTACCCTACTCTGCAATTCCATTGTGGGGAACTAAGCACCATCTTTGTTACTATATTTGTGTCACATCATGGAGTAGGTTCCCCAGACCAACTGGTTTCCTCCTACTGCACAAGAACCCAGAGATTGAAATGTTAGTCCCAAAATGGCCTAGTTTGTGTAGTTTGCTTGCCTGTAGGGGTCTCACCAACACAAAGAATTATTAAGTTAATTAACAGAGTGTAAATGACATGTATCTATGTTAATATATACCATAGTTTAATGTGTTAATAATCTGTCTATCATTGGTATGATCTGATTAATTAACATATTAATTACACTATATCAACTATCTAATACTCTTGATAACAATATTAACTAGTCATTATTATTATCTCGTACTTCATTAAAGGAGATAGTCAACCTATTCCTAAGACAGATAAATGATTATGTGCATCTACATCTAAAAAGTTTCTAAACGTCTGCGTTTAAAAGCTGCACTGAATCAAACATTGCGTTTGTGACTTCACTGGCAGAAACCAAATTAACATTTGTTAACTGGAAAGGATAGAAACATGATTAACAGTTAATTTGAAAACAATCAAACTGCATCAATTTACTGTACACATACCATTTTTATGAAATGAAATGAAATGGGGTTTAACGTCCCACTTTCATGCACCAACCGGGCTAATGAAGATTGGCATATATGCTATGTGGTGTACTTTGTGAGCAATTTTTCAAAGACAGCAGAATCTACTCATCACCAAATTTTAATTGTCAAGGGAGGAAATTCCAAACAGGGATTCAGCTCACTTTCTTTAATTCCCCAGTTTACCAATCCATTAGCATTGTAACCTTCACAAGACAAATTGAACAATTCTGGTTAAAGCCCTTAAGTGTTAACTTAATCTGGCTGAAACAGTTTTTTTTTTAATCAAGGTCTATTACAAAATAAATACCAGTTACAATAATAACTGTATTAATGAGTGATTAAATATAGATTATTGTTTATACAGGGATTATCTACTAATCTTACACTATTAGATTCTACATCCATAATAATTAACAAAACATGCATAAAGCAAAATAAATATACCACTATGTAAATCTGTAAACTATTTTGATGCATGGGTTAACATCATTGCAGAACACATTCAAACTGATTAATTATTAATGTTCTTACCTGTAAATAATGATGGTCCTGACAAGCGATGGTGATATGCAAATTAATTCCTCCCTTTCGCTTGATTGACAGTTATAATTTACATCTCTACAGCATTAGAAGTACCTCCCTCTGATTTCTGGCCAATCCATTAAATGTACACCTAATCTTTTCCTGAAATAAATAAAAAAAAAAAATCAATTTCAAATTAAATTGAAATATAATTACCAGTAGATCAATTTTGTTTAAAATGCAAAATGATTGATAGCCAATCAGTGAAACATACACACACCAACACTAAAGTTCTATCCAGCAGATCAAAAAGAGACCTGTTATATACATGTATATCGTCGGTGAGCTATCAAAATTGTGTATAGTGGTGTATACGAAGGAATACAAATTTTACAGGAGGAACAAAAAACTGAATAACTTTGTGGGATATTGTCGTATCATCTTGAAATTTGGAACGGGGAAACGTTATTTGACACGTTACTTACTGATAATAAGCACAACGAAAAATCGTGATGTAATTTTACGTAAGCACACATACGAAATTTTGATATGGTAGTAATAGGAAAATGTGGTCTTTTTAGGAGAATACAAAATTTTGAAGCTAATGTTAAAATAAAGATATCAAACAAAAATGTTCATTATTAATTTATTTTGACTAAAACAAAACATGAACACGTCTACTGGACGCGGATATTTCAAGTTAATTACAATATAACAACAGTAAATAATAACAAACTTCATAATGTAGGCCTATGATTAGCTAAACCTTACAAAACATGAAAAAATACCAACAATATTTTAGTAAATTCATTCATATAAGTTAATGAAACGAGTACATCAAATAATCAACATAATTGATATATTCAACTTATTCCGCCTCATGAAGTAAATTGTCATAAAAAGGATGGTAATCAGAGGGTAATACCTTTTTAAGTTCTTGTAAATGGGTGTACTTTTTTGACTTGATTTTAAGTGGGGCGTCGTATAAGCAATGGAGCTCCAGAGGGTCGTCCTTTGACGGAGAACACCTTTTATTACGTCTAGGGAGATCGTTAAACTCGTCAGTTAAGTTTGTCTTATACTGAATATTACCATCCTTACGAATATCCGTAACTACAGGATCACCACTACGTGCACCTGGACGAAGTGTGGAATAATAACCTAACAGCGAGAAAGTTTTAAAAAAGTCGTGTGTAAGATATTTCACTTTATAAAGTGGGGTTACTCTTGCTGTACGTATTAAGTCCACGTAATTCTGTGGAATATAAATAGGTTTACCGCGAATTCTTCTCTCAATCGTGCTGTGAACGGAATCACATTCCATATGAGTGTGACCCTTTTCAAGAAATTTTTGCACGATGGTTATTTCTCTCTCAGTGGCAGCTTTTAGTAACATATTTGATAAAATTACATTTCTATTTTGGTATGTACAACCATCGCTATACAAAATAAGTTCTTTGACATCATGGTCGATAGAATTTATATAATCATTTAAGCAAGAGGCAAAAGTATTTGCATTAAGATCCCCAATACCTTCATGCCAAAAGTAATTGACCACATCTTTGCTCGCAAGATCAAAAATTGTGTAATTATGACATCCCAATTTCGTCTTGTAGTACATGGAACTAGCTGTAAGCAAAGGACATAATAACAAGGACTGGAGATCTAATGTCACAACCTTAACCTTATCTTCAGCTTCTGAACGAAGTTTGTCTGCAGCTTTCTCAGCTCTCACCTCATTTTTACGTGAGATGTGTAAGTTATAGTCAGCTTCAGAGATATTATTTGTCTCATAACCACAACAAATGTCACATCTGTCTTTCTTAGATCATTGAATACGGATATGAAAGCCTTCCTGCGAAGGAACAGCTTATCATTGTGTTTACAATCCTTCACATACACTTTGTATAATTCAGAAGCACTAGTAAAGACTGGCTCAAGATAATGTTTTTTCGAAGAGGATCTGCAATAATGTAAAGATAATTTCGGGAGTTCGTTAAGGAAGTGTCGCGCATAGTTGACCTTCTCTGTATTTGATACCGAAACACGTCTTTTAGTTGCTGCAGCTGTCTTTGGGATACCCGCACGAGAATTGCCTTTCAACCATTCGTAAACAGTCTTATCATTAATACCAAGAGTAGCCAAGAAAATGTTTCGGCAAACACTAACACGTTCATTATCCTTTTTAAGGTAGTATTTAAAAGACTTTTTTTTTCGGCTCTCTTCGGCTGGTTTCTTTCTGTTGCTAGCCACCACTTCATCAACCAAGCCAGCCACAAAGACTTTCTTCTGGTTCCAGGACATGTCAGCTCAAAAGCCATTGAATATCGATTGTCGCTCTTCTTCATTGAAAACAGAACATTTTTTACTCATTCGACAAGACTTTGCACACTTCGGCTCACCCATCTGTCGACCCATCCTTTCACTTGAAAGAACATATTTGCCACCTTCATCTTGTTTCAGGCCCCTGTAACTTTTACCCTCCATACGAAGTCTTTTATTTATATTTCTATCCCAGTTTGATGGATTTGACCTTCCACGCTTAGCACGACTCTTAGAGTGCTCTTTTATGGTTGCATTCGGTGAATCGATAATGATAGTTGTCAAAATATCATCATCCGGAATGGGCTGTACACCATCATCCGAGTCAAGTTCAAACATAGAAGTCTTCTTTCTTGGTGACCATTCTGGATCTCTATCATCATCATCATCGAACTCACTCTCAGAGTCAGTGAAATTGCCCAACTCGAAGCATCGCAAATTGACTTTAGGTTTTAAAGGGGTAGTTTGTGATATTGGATGTCCTTGTATTCTAATTGCTGAAGTTGGTATGAATGGATTGTCACAAGGAATGGGTAGACTAATATCTAGAATAGGTTCAGGTAAATTTGATGCTTTTTGATCAGAGCGTGGTGTATGGAAAAAGGCCTCAGTATCAATTGATATAAGGAGCCTTGGTATACTGTTACAGCTTTGATCCGTAACTGACGTTGATGTTTGTCCCGCAGAAAGACAACAGTTTGATGCAGGTAGGTAAGGCGTTGCTTCAGGTAAATATGAGTTTAATGCAGGTAAATGTGACCTAGATTCAGGTAAGTAAGTCGATGATGTACGCTTAGCTAAGTAGGGTGTGGAAGAAGGTAAGCAGGACGTTGATGTAGGTAAGAACGACCACGACGGTGATGCAGGTATGTAGGACGACGTTATTACTGGTAAGTTTTTCCAGGACGTTGCTAAGGGTGAGTTGCACGTTGTTAGGCGTAAGCTGGTCGTTGATAAAGGTGGGTAGGTAATTGGTGAATTTATAAACGAAATTGATTTTGATGCAGGTAAGTAGGGCCATGACGTTGATGCGTGTGATTAGGACGTCGTTACGGATAAGCCGGTTGTTGATGCAGGTGAGAAGAACTCTGATGCAGGTAAGTAAGTATTTGAGGGGGGTATGAAAAGTGTTGATTTTGATGCAGAGAAATGGGACCATGAAGTTGATGTGGGGGAATAGTACGTTGTTGCCGGTAAGTTGGTCGTTGATACAGGTGAGTAGGACAATGTTGCAGGTAAGTAGGACGTGGTTACAGGTAAGTAGATAGCTGATGACGTTAACTTGGAAGTAGATGCAGGCAAGTACGGAGTTGATGCGGGTAAGTGGGGTGTTGGTTTTGGTGTCGACGTAGGTATAGACAGCATTGTTTGATATGCAGATGACGTTTCCTTGGTAATGTCAACCATTGATGGTAATAGGCCTATGTCAGTCTTCGCAACTGAAATTCCAGATGAAAATATTTGAGATTTTCTCCTATTCCACGTAAGAACAGGCTACTTATGAATTTTCTGAAAAGCCGAAGTTGATTCCACTTCACCTGGATTTGAAGGCCTATTACTTTTAGAGTTTAGAGCCATTTTTAGTAACAATTTTCTTCTTGAAAAATCACCCATTTTGTTGATTTTCTGAAACATAATTTGAGAATATCTTTTAAAATCTTACGATAAACACTTCAAGGCATTATCAAATATTACATATCAAATATTCGTATATTGATTATCAACAGGCTTAGACGTCAGAGATATTCCTACGTTATATTCTCGTATATCACTAATTTCAAATTAATACGGTTATTAGCACTCCGTATTCATTATATTTTTGAACAAAGCTATTACATTGTTGCAATGAATATGTAGAAAATACATTTACCAATTTTATTAATAAATAACACCCACGATGCATACATAGGAAGCCTATCTCAAAATATCATCATAATTTAGGACTCTACAGGCCGATTGATAGTTTCTTTTAGCGAGTTTCGTGTCTGATAAGTATCGTAAACATTAATTAAGTTATAAAAATAACAAATTACTCACCTACAAGTCTAATTGTTTAGCTAAGCAAAACCACACGAGTTGACGATCAAATTCACCGGAGGTACGAAATTTTGCGATACCAAATAATCACCAATCAAAATACGAATTTTTTTCACGTGTTCCAATTGGAACAGAGTTACGAGACCCAGATAGAAATTTGCGCCAGACGCCGAGGGTTTAGAAACTGGGGAAAAAGGATATACAAAATTTTGACGATATACGCAATTTTCATAGCTCACCGGCAATATGGATTTTAACCATAGGCCTACATGTATGCAACAGTTGTCACATTTTGAATGCTTGGAAAAGAAAATTCTCTGGATCTTTACATAATGAAAACATTGACTGGTAATGTTTTTACAGTTCATCAAGTATCATATTAAAGAAGGAAATGAAATGAAATTATATGTGGTTTAAATAATGATGATGGGTATTAACTATAACACTGTAATCTAGTACTGGGTCACTTCCATAAAACAGGAACAACTACATGTATGTTGGCGTTTATAATACTATTCAGGAAGGAAACTGTTGAGTGTATGACAGTAACTCAGAATTTCATGGCCAGCACATGATTTTATTGTGATTGAAATGTTCCAAGTTTTAAAAAAAAAACACCTTAAACTCTGTTCCTTATTACTAAATCATTTTATACATAATCAAAGGACTACTCTACACTTTTCCTCTTTCTACAGTACTTATTAGACATCAAATCACATTGATTTTTACATAAGTTAATATATGTCAATCCGATTTTAAATCGTATTAGTGACACCCTTTACATATTTATAGTTATATGTACA